TATTCTCACTTTAGATGAAGGCTTACAGAACAAAATAGTTTCTCATTTAACAGTTAGTACACATGTTGCCCTATGACAATGGTTAACAACCTCAGTTGTGAGGATTTTTCTTTCCTTTATGTTGAAGTGTAATCTATACTGAAGGCTGTAGTCTTTGATCTTCATCAGTAAGTGCTACAAGTCCTCTTTGCTTCCAGCAAGGAAGATTGTGTCATCTGCATATTGCAGGTTGTTAATGAGTCTTTCTCCAATTCTGATGCTGTGTTCTTCTTCATATAGTCCAGCTTCTCTAATTATCTGCTCAGTATACAGACTGAATAAATGTGGTAAAAGGATACAACCCTGACCCACACCTTTCCTGATTTTAAACCACGCAGTATCCCCTTGTTTTGTTCGAACAACTGCCTCCTGGTCTTTGTACAGGTTCCTCATAAGCACAATTAAGTGTTTTGTAATTCCCATTCTTTGCAATGTTATCCGTAATTTTTTATGATCCACACAATCGAATGCTTTTGCATAGTCAATAAAACACAGTAAACATCTTTCTGGTATTCTTTGCTTTCAGCCAAGATCTATCTGACATCAGCAGTGATATCCCTTGTTCCAAGTCCTCTTCTGAATCTGGTTTGAATTTCTGGCAGTTTCCTGTTGATGTACTGCTACAACCACTTTTGGATTAATTTCAGCAAAATTTTATTTGTATGTGATATTAATGATATTGTTGGATTTCTGCATTCTGTTGAATCATCTTTTTTTGGAATGGGCACAAATATGGATCTCTTCCAGTTGGTTGGCCAGGTAACTGTCTTCCAAAGTACTTGGCATAGACGAGTAAGCACCTCTAGCGCTGCATCCATTTTTTGAAACATTAGTATTATGTCAATTCCTGGAGCCTTGTTTCTCGCCATTGCCTTCAGTGCAGCTTGGACTTCTTCCTTCAGTACCATCGGTTCTTGATCATATGCTATCTCCTGAAGTGGCTGAACATCGACCAATTCTTCTTGGTACAGTGACTCTGCATTCCTTCCATCTTTTTTTGATGCTTCCTGCATCATTCAATAATTTCCCTGTAGACTCCTTCAATATTGCCAACGCGAGGCTTGAATTTTCTCCTCATTTTCAGCTTGAGAAACGTCGCTTGTGTTCTTCCCTTTTGGTTTTCTAATTCTAGGTCTTTGCACATTTCAGTATAATACTTTATTTTGTCTTCTTGAGCCACCCTTTGAAATCTTCTGTTCAGCTCTTTTACTTCATCATTTCTTCCATTTGCTTTAGCTGCTGTATGTTCTAGAGCAATCTTCAAAGTCTCTTCTGACACCCATTTTGATCTTTTCTTTCTTTTTAATGACCTTTTGCTTTCTTCATGTATGATATCCTTGATGTCATTCCACAACTCATCTGGTATTTGGTCATTAAACTTCAATGTGTCATATCTTGTCTTGAGATTGTCTCTAAATTCAGGTGGGATATACTCAAGGTCGTACTTTGGCTCTCACGGACTTGTTTTAATTTTCTTCAGCTTCAGCTTGAACTTGCATATGAGGAATTGATGGTCTGTTCCAAAGCCAGTCCCTGGCCTTGTTTTGACTGATGATATTGAGCTTCTCCATCATCTCTTTCCACAGATGTAGTCGATTTGATTCCTGTGTATTCTATCCAGCAAAGTATAAAAAAACCAAAAAACCAAACCCGTTGCTGTTGAGTCGATTCCAACTCCTATCGACCCTAGAGGACAGAGCAGAACTGCCCAACAGAGTTTCCAAGGAGCACCTGGTGGATCTGAACTGCCGACCTTTTGGTTAGCAGCTGTAGCACTTAACTACTACACCACCAGGGTTTCCCCGCAAGGTATAGTCGTTGTCTATATTGTTACAAAAAGTTATTTTCCGTGAATAAGTCGTTGGTCTTATAAATTTCTAACATGCGATCTCCAGCGTCATTTCTGTCACCAAGGCCATATTTTCCAACTACTGATTTTTCTTCGTTTCCAACTTTTGCATTACAATCACAAGTAATTATCAATGCATCTTAACTGCATGTTTGATCAATTTCTCAAACTGCAGAAGTTGGTAAAAATCTTCCATTTCTTCATCTTTGGCTTTGGCGTTTGGTGCATAAATTTGAATAACAGTCTTATTAACTGGTCTTCCTTGTAGGCACATGGACATTATCCTATCACTGACAGCACTGTACTTCAGGATAGACCCTGAAATGTTCTTTTTGACGATGAATGTGATGCCATTTTTCTTCAATTTGTCATTCCCAGCATAACAGACCATATGATTGTCTAATTCAAAATGGTCAATACCAGCCTGTTTTAGCTCACTAATGCCTAAGATATCAATCTTTATGTGTTCCATTTCACTTTTGACAACTTCCAGTTTTCCTAAATTCATACTTATTTATCTCTAGATGATGTGACTAACAGTGATTTTAATTTTTTTATTTTCTGGTCTCCTCATTTTCTCTTTTCTCTACTATGCACTCTCCAATCATATAATTTTTAAAAACTAAACCAAACCAGACCCATTGCCGTTGATTCTGACTCATAGCAACCCCACATGACAGAGTAGAACTGCCCCATAGGGTTTTCTAAGCTGTAATCTTTCTTGTAGCAGATTGTCTGTTCTTTCTCCTGCAGAGCCGTGAGGTGGGTTTGAACCTTGGGCCTTTCAGTTAGCAGCCTAGCCCTTAACCACTGAACCACCAGGGCTCCTTGTAAATCTTAAAGGTTTACTTAAACAATAAAATAAAATGCACATAATATAGACTCCACTCACAACCTTTACCAGGATTGGGCTGGACAACTCATGTTTGATAGAAATGGGCTCTATTCCTTCTTCAAAACATGGAATCCTCAGAGAATTCAGAAGAAAAGTCTGGCGAAGCACTTCAGTTGGAACCTACATTCCTGTAATCCCCATACCAATTCCTGATATCAAGGTAGCCTTTTTAAAAGATTTATTTCATATTTCTAAGTGATAATGGCTTGGAATAAAAGCCGTTGAAGGCCTTTTCAGTTCAGAGACATCATGACAATAATGGGGCACCACTGTGGATGCAGACCAAAAAGTGGCAGGGCACACAGAAAAGCCTCGCCTCTTCAATGCTTTCCAAGCTCCCTTTATTCAGACTCAGAACACTGGAAACTTAACACTCTGGTTAGCCGGAGGAAATGGGCATAAAGACGTTGCAGCTGGGAGCTTTGGATCAACCCCTATCAGGCCTGAGAGGGATCAGCCTATTGTGTGGCCTAGAAGATAAGCCTCCCTGAAGCACAAACGGTCCTTTTATTCCTTGTGCCCAAAGGCAGGTGCCAGGGCCAACTCTGCTCTTCCCTGTTTCTGCCTTCCCCTCTAATCCAGATACGTCGAGCTCAGAGAAGTGCGTTCCCATCACTTGCCATCTCTCAGACTTCTCAAATGTGATGGGTCTGAAAAAATGCCACAAGACAAACATGGTGTCAGGTGTCAGCTGAGAAATCAAAGTAGAAGAATTTATACAAAGCCTTTCTTTAAACAGCATTTCACTGTCATTTTCCTCTCTCTATTCAGTGTTCAGCTTTGATGTATTATTTGGTAAAGCTCTTAGAAAACAACTGTTTGTTATCAATGTCACAACCATTCTGAAAGGCATCAGAAGAGCTTAATAAAGAACAAGCAAATTCATCTTTGACCTCACTGCAGGGCTAAAACAAAAGGCCCTGGGCTCTCTGATGTGATAATAATCAACAATTTCAGCATAAACCGGTAGTTCAGGTCTGGTACATTCCATCAAATCAAAGGAGAGGGCTGCAGACGGCCAGGGCTAAGGGGGAAAATGGTTGCCCCTGGCTCTCACTGCTCTCTTAGTGGATATTTCCTGGTGGGTTTCTGGGAGCCTATGGGTAGAACTTGGTGCTAATATATAAGAAAAGCTTTTTTTTTTTTTCATATAAATTAAATCTCACTGGAAATTTCAAATTTACCTTAAAGTCAGACTTAAAAACAAGAACTCTTCTGAGAAGACTTGCTTGATAGAAAGCAATAGACTAATAGAACACACCCATAGCCTACTACCAAGGCACGCTTTAGAACAAGAAATAACTACGTGAAAACAAAAAACAAGCACCCATTTCTCTTTCTAAAAACCCTTCCCAACTCAACCCAACTATTCTTTTGTATGAATGGAAAAATTGGGGGAGGAACTAAACCAAAAATGGAATGGGGCTAATTTTCTGATTTACGCAAAATGTTTTAAATGAACATGTATAACTTTGAAAGTAAAATACAAAAGAATTATCTAGTGAGCGTGTGTAACTTTAATAACAAAATACAAAAGATAACAAAATGTCAGGAGGATATGTACCAAATTGTTATCTCTGAGAAGTGGGAGTTGATGGAGGAAATCTGGGGAGAAAGCTGTGAAACGGGGTGGGAGGGTTAACTATTTCAATCACATATCTCTGGTGTTTGGGGACTTGTTGCAATAGCTTTTAAGACTTTTATCATAACCAAATAAAAAATTATGCAAAAGTAACTATGGGGAATGTCCAACTATAGGGGGATGTTCAACTATGGGGGGATGTCATGGATTGAATTGTGTCCCCCAAAAATATGTGTATCAATTTGGCTAGGCCATGATTCCCAGTATTGTGTGACTGTTCACCATTTTGTAATCTGATGTGATTTCCCTACATGTTGTAAATCCTTTCACTATGATGTTAATGAGATGGATTAGCAGCAGTTATGTGGACGAGATCTACAAGATTAGATTGTGTCTTAAGCCAATCTCTTTTGAGACATAAAAGGGAGAAGTGAGCAGAGAGACATGGGGACCTCATACCACCGAGAAAGCAGTGCCCGGAGCAGAGCACATCCGTTGGACTCAGGGTTCCTGTGCAGAGAAGCTCCTAGTCCAGGGGAAGACTGATGATATGGACCTTCCTCCAGAGCCAAGAGAGAAAGAAAGCTTCCCCTGGAGCTGATGCCCTGAATTTGGACTTCTAGCCTACTAGACTGTGAGAAAATAAATTTCCCTTTGTTAAAGCCATCACTTGTGGTATTTCTGAGAGCTGAAGGTACAGTGATAAAGATACCATGGACTCTAAGTCTGTGACTTCGAGACAACCTCAAAGGTCCTGGAGTGTAGGGAAAGCAGAAGGTAAACAGTATGGCCCATGCAATGCAGGTATATGTTAGTTCAGCTGTGTCAACAGTGCTATGGTTGAAATTCTGATGTCCCAGTAGAACAGGGGGACACAGTGTTGAGTGTAGTGCGGCAATCACCTTTCCCTGTCCCAATGGCTCAAGAGGCTGCGTTTCCACCTATCCTAATAATACTTAAATTCAACAAGTTATTGAGTCATGAGTCATGTAATCAGGACCTTGGGTATAAACAGCTAAAATGTAGCTCTAACCAAAAGTACTTAGAATCTTAGCTCTTATCCCTACAGGCCAATGATTCTTCACTTGTTTTAGATCAGGGATAACTGTGAGAATCTGATGAGAACCATGGATCATCTGCCCAGAAAATTCTGACTACATAACATTTTATGCACTCTAAGCTCCTGCTGGAGTCAGGCAAGAGGTGAAGGGCAAAGAATCCTCTTAGCCTATTGAGAAGAAGTAAAGAACACAAGTGTGAAGGATACAGCTGCTCACAGAGCAAGGTTATGCTGGGCTGGCAGGAGATGGGGAATGCAGGGCAGCTTCCTTTGCTCAGAAGCAGAGAGAGGCCTGGGTCACAGATGGTGCCCTGTTTCACCACCACATTCACAGCAGCTTAGGAAGCTCTGTGTGTGTGTACTGTCTCCCAGTGGAAGAGCCAACTAAGAAAACTCTCCCAAAGAGACATGTAACAATCAGACAGGGCAGAAGAGCTCTGAAAGCCAGTATAAAAGCAACCCAAGTTGAAAACCGTGGTAGATGGTGTGTGTATAAGGCATAGGAGAAACATTTTGAAAATACTGACAAGAAAGCACTTGGGAGTTGGCCAAAGGACACAAAGAAGTTTTCCCTAGTTGTGAGCAGGTTGTGAGGGATTGGAAGGAGAGACCAGAGATTTTTTTAAGTCCTGAGTGCCCCCATCTTACCTGCAATAGTTATGTTCGCCCAAGCCCCCCTCCCCATTGGGGTATTTCAGAGTGTTGTACGGATGCTGGAAAGTCTCGTTCCAGAACAGACATGGCTTCCCGCTGTGCAGTGCAGTCCAGTTCTGCGTTCCCCTATAATCCACACCATTGGCTGTGAAACACTCTAGGAGAAAGAAAAGACAGAGCAAACTAATTTCTGGCAACATCTATAGTCTCCTCCCCTCTCTGGTTAATGTTTTATTTGTTTTGTTTGGGCCAAGCTGACAATGGGTAGTGTCTTGCTAGATGCTGGAATCAGCACAGTTAATACTGCTAGGGATAAGTCAATCTGCAACTAGGTAACCTCCAAACGCTAGGCTAATCTTGGCACTAGCCTATCTACAGACACTAGAACATTTTCCCCAAAGTATACAGATCCAAATTAGGATATAAACAGGGAACTGAAATGTACTGAAGCCCATGAAATGAACCAGGAAACCCCCTAAACTGGGAACAGTTGGTAACAGCCATGCATGTGGAATTCTGGGTACTCTGAGGGGGTCACTGCTCTTGTCAGTGTCTCTGTGTGGTAACTAGAACCAGGTCACCAGCTGTAACTGAGCTCTCCCCTACAGTTTGAAAGCCAGCACTGACACTTGGATTTAATAAGACCATCAGATACAGCAATGCTTTGGAATCCCAATCACACAAGTTGGGAATGACTCACATTCCCTGGTAATGAAGAACAGTCCTCCCCATGCTGTTAACGATAGAAATGCAACAAAACAGACAGTCAACACAAGGGAGGGAGGGCCCAGTTGGCATTTTCTCTCACCTTTTTCTGAAATTCCTTCCTACAAGACACACTCAAAATGGACTTAAGTCATAGTTTAATAAAATAACAAATCCTTGCAGGTGCAACAATGTGCTTCTGAAATACGTTTCTCAGACTCTGGGAGGGATGGGAACTTAGGCTGATAGGATTTCTCCCACATATTGCACGCATTAAACTCACAGAGGTTCATGGGAAAGGCACAGTACAAAGAGCAATTTTTAAAAATTAGCTTAGTTGAAACTGAAAGAAGGACTTCAAACAGTTCTTTAAGATGTATCACTAGAAACCTGACAATCTGGTGGAGTTACACTAACATCCTTAGCTGTATTCCTTTCCTTCTCTTGGCATGCACTGGCCTATGACTTCCGGAATTAAGGACTCTTAATGTCATCTCCTGTTGAAGCTCATGTGCCTTCTCCACCCTAAGCATGTGGACAACATGGGCACAGCTACACTGTGGAAGGTATCCCTTTTAGTATTTAAAAACTACCCATAAAACATTGCTCTTCCTGTACCCTCATCCTCCGAACATCCATGCCCAGTATTTTGTCTGCAATGGCACAGTTTTATGATAGCCAAAATAATCTAGAATTCCAGGTTATACTGAAAACCCCAGTAATTGATTGCGTTTGGTACAACACTTATATGTTACGATAAGTGGGATTCATTATGAACCACAATGACCAAACCCTCTACCAAGAGTCTGCGTAAATGAAGAGTAAAGGGAAGTGAAAGAGGTAGCACAAAACACATGAAACTAGGAGACTAAGCTCTGGCTTCTCATTTGGACCTGCTGCTGACCAGCTGTGTAACCTTGGATGCATCACCACCATCCACATCACCACTAATACTTACATAGTGTTTTACTGTGTGACAAGCTCTGTTCTAATCGCTTTACAAATATCATCTCACGACCAACCCAATGGGGAAGGACCCTCAGAACCCCCATTTAACAGATAAGGCAGCTAGGGCATAAAGAGGTTAAGTAACTTGCTCAAGGCAGTCTGCCTCCAGAGAAAGATCTCAACCACACCCAACACTGTCTCTAGTAGAAGCCCCTCAGCATGCATCATCTTTGCTTCCCTCATCCTCTCCCTCAACCCACTTCCAATTGATCAGCGAGTTCTGTTGACTTCTTTAAAATACATATTCAAAGCCTCCCTTTCCCCTCCATCTTCAGAGTCCTTGCTTTAATCCTGTTCACCATCAGAAGAGAGTACAGCCTCATTCAGGTCTCACAGCTTCCACTTTTATTCTCCTTCAATCCGTCTTCCACACAGTACTCAAAGTTCTTAGGAAAACCTAAGCACTCAAAACAAAACCCAAACTCTTCTTCATTGTTGTTTACAAGGCCTCCGTGATGTGGGCCCAGCCTCTCCCCTCACCACACCCCGGCTCTTCCCCTACTCACTTGCTATGTTCCAGCCACTTTGGTCTGCTTTTAATTCCATGAACACGCCATGCTATTTCCTGCCTAAAAAGTTCTTCCTCTAATACTTCACATCACAGACTAAGCATTACCTCCTCAGAAAATCCTTCCCCCTCATCTCCACTCTTATTTTTCTGCCCTTTGTTTGTATGCTTCTTTATAGCGCTTATTATCACTGGGAATATATTTGATCTGCTTTAGTATGTGTATGTACACACACACACACACACACCAGAGCTCTATCCCCAACTACAAGGTTAGAGTGGAAACTGGGAATCCGTATTTTTTTTAAGTTGCCCAGGTGATTCTATTAAGTAATGAGGTTTAGGAACCACGAGACAATTCTAAGACCATCAAGCCAATCTTTGCCAATTGCTGGTACGCAGTTCAAATCCACTAGCTGCTCCTTGGAAACCCTATGGAGCAGTTCTACTCTGTCCTATAGGGTCGCTATGAGTTGGAATCAACTGGACTGCAACAGGTTTTTTTTTTTTTTTCAAACTATACAACTTGGTACTGAAGATGAGTAATTTTTCATAAAGGCCTTGTAGCTGCCCTGTTAGTGTTGACACACTTTTTCTCCTATCAAAAGTGGATGAGGATCCTCTTAAGAATGGGAACCAGACAAGGATGCCCTTTATCACCACTCTGATTCAACACTGTGCTGGAGGTCCTAGCCAGAGCAATTAGGCAAGAAAAAGAAATAAAGGGCATCCAAACTGGTGAGGAAGAAGTAAAAGTATCCCTATTTACAGATGATATGATCTTATACACAGAAAACCCCAAAGAATCCACAAGAAAACTACTGGAACTAACAGATATCAGCAAAATTATCAGGATACAAGATAAGTGTATAAAAATCAGTTGGATTTCTCTACACCTACAAAGAGAACTTTGAAGAGGAAATCACCAAATCAATACCATTTACAATAGCACCCAAGAAGATAAAATACTTAGGAATAAATCTAACCAGAGACGTAAAAGACCTATACAAAGAAAACTACAAGACACTACTGCAAGAAACCAAAAGAGACCTACATAAGTGGAAAAGCATACCATGCTCATGGATAGGAAGACTCAATATTGTGGAAATGTCAATTATACCTAAGGCGATCCACAGATATAATGCAATCCTGATCCAAATTTGAACAACATTTTTTACTGAGATGGAAAAACAAATCACCAACTTTATATGGAAAGGGGAGAGTCCTCAGATAAGTAAAGCATTACTGAAGAAGACGAACAAAGTGGGAGGCCACACACTACCTGATTTTAGAACCTATTATACCGCCACAGTAGTCAAAACAGTCTGCTACTGATACAACAACAGATACATAGATCAATGGAACAGAATTGAGAATCCAGACATAAATTCATTCACCTATGAACAGCTGATGTTTGACAAAGGCCAAAAGTCTGTTAATTGGGGAAAAGACAGTCTGTTTAACCAATGGTGTTGGCATAACTGGATATCCATCTGCAAAAAAAATGAAACAAGACACAAACCTCACACCATGCACAAAAACTAACTCAAAATGCATCAAAGACCTAAATATAAAATCTAAAATGATAAAGATCATGGAGGAAAAAATAAGGACAATGCTAGGAGCCCTAATACACGGCATAAACAAAATACATAACCTAACTAACAATGCACAAACACCAGAAGACAAACTAGATAACTGGAGACACCTAAAAATCAAACACTTATGCTCATCAAAAGATTTTACCAAAAGAGTAAAAAGATAACCTACAGACTGGAAAAAATTTTTGGCTATGACAAATCCAATCAGTGTCTAATTTCTAAAATCTACAAGATACTGCAAAACTTCAACAATAAAAAGGCAAATAACCCAACTGAAAAATGGGTGAAGGATACACACAGGTACTTCACCAAAGAAGACATTCAGGTGGCTAACAGATACATGAGGAAATGCTCACAATCATTAGCCATTAGAAATGCAGATCAAAACTACAATGGGATACTATCTCACCCCAACAAGGCTAGCATTAATCCAAAAAACACAAAATAATACATGTTGGAGAGATTGTAGAGAGACTGGAACACTTATGCACTGCAGGTGGGAGTGTAAAATGGTACAACCACTTTGGAAATCGATTTGGCACTTCCTTAAAAAGCTAGATATAGAAGTACCATATGATTCAGGAATCCCACTGCCTTGGAATATATCCTAGAGAAATAAGAGTCACATGAATAGATATATGCACACCCATGCAGCACTGTTCACAATAGCAAAAATATGGGAACAACCTAGATGCCCATCAGTGGACGAATGGATAAACAAATTATGGTATATTTACACAATGGAATACTATGCAACAATAAAGAACAACGATGAATCCGAGAAACATCTCATAACATGGATGAATCTGGAAGGCATTGTGCTGAGTGAAATTAGTCAGTCACAAAAGGACAAATATTATATGAGACCACTATTATAAGAACTCAAGAAAAGGTTTATACACAGAAGAAAACATTCTTTGACGGTTACAAGGGTGGGGAGGGAGAGGGGAAATTCACTAACTAAATAGTAGACAAGAAATATCTTAGGTGAAGGGAAGGACAACACACAATACAGGGGAAGTCAGCACAACTGGACTAAACCAAAAGCTAAGAAGTTTCCTGAACACAACCAAACACTTTGAGGGATAGAGTAGCAGTGGTGGCAGTCCGGGGACCATGGTTTCGGGGGACATCTAGGTCAATTGGCATAACAAAGTTTATTAAGAAAATGTTCTGCATCCCACTTTGGTAAGTGGCATCGGGGATCTTAAAAGCTAGTAAGCAGTCATCTAAGATGTATCAATTGGTCCCAACCCACCTGGAACAAAGGAGAATGAAGAACACCAAAGACACAAGGAAAATATTAGCCCAAGAGACAAAAAGGGCCACATAAACCAGAGACTCCATCAGCCTGAGACCAGAACTAGATGGTGCCCAGCTACCACCAATGATCACCC